CTGCTCAGGCTGGCTTTGCAGCAATTCTTTCCTGCCCACAGTAGCAGGGAGCTTAGTGGGCCAGATCTCACTGCCCTTCTCAGTGTTTGAGAGCAGGGGAGAGCTCAGTTGACCTGTGAGCTGGGGGTAAGACCATAATCCCTTGGTCACAGTACCATCACTCCTTGTTATCTCTCAAGCTTCTGAAATTGATGATGAACACCCGCTAAAGAATCTAACTCATGGCCAGGCACCCTGCCCTCCACGTCCCACCTGTCTCCAGCGTGCTCTGCAACATTGGCCTGGGACTCTGGTCTGAACCCCAGAATCTGATCCACAGTTTGATGTCATCTGGCCCATCCCAAGGATCTCTAAAAATAAAGACCTGAGCGAGTCATATTTTTTACTTTTTTTGAACAACAGTTTCAGTGCCTGCTGTCTGTCATCTTGTTTCTTTTCTGAGTGTGTTGATTGAACAGTGGGTGGCTAGGTAATGTTTGTGTTGGAACAGAATCCAACAGCTGATTTTATTTTTTTAAATATATTAAAAAAAAAAAACCCAGAGATGTAGACTATCCCATGGAAACTTCTTTTCACCCTATAATTTTATTTTCTAAAAAGTGTGCACTTTAATAACTTATCGGAGCAAAGATAAACCCGGTGAATGGCAGGCTGTGTACGTCACTCAGCATTGATTTTCGATCCTTGTCGAACATCCATTTTTACCACTTCGGATCTGTGCAGGTGTTCTATTTAGTGTGCTGTTTTCCCATAGAACATTACTTCTTTTATAAAATATAATAACTTGATAACAGTAACTTGCATTTCAGTTGCATTTTGCAGTTTACAAAGCTCTTTTTATGCCTTATCTCAGGCTTCCTATTGTGGTGTCCTGTGTTGTATTGCACGAGGCAAGTCTGCATAAAGAAGGAATCAAAAAAGCCCTGGGTCCTCGTCCTGCATATGAAATTACAAGCTATGTGACCTTGAGAAGTCTTTGACCTCCTGGAACCCGTTTCCTTCTCTGTAAAATGGGCGAGAAGGGGAATAATGAAAGCATGTGTATAAAGTGCCTTATAGCATAGTGCCTGGTGTGTAGTGGGTACCTAATAATTATAATTCCCATTTTGTTTTTATTATTGTAAATAGCCATCACTAATTTTCAAACTTTTATGTGACTCTCAATTTTTCCATTATATTTCTTGTGGCCCACAATCGATTTTTCCTCCTGTAAGCCAATGACCCTATAGGAAAATAATTTCATTATTCTACCTTGAAGGAAGTATTAATTGTTGAATATACCTTGATGGAATCATCAGGTTCCAAATCAAGTAGAAAATTCTCAGGCATTCCGAAACTGTGGTTCCCGAAAATTCAGAGGTAATCCCTTTTCCCACCAAAACCCCAGAAACAGAAAAACTTAATCGATTTGGATAACACACAACTGAACATATAATTATCTCTGGGAAGAAGACAAACCCTTTGAAATGTTCATTTCTTCATTCATTTCTTCATTCACTCACTCATTCATATGCGTATTCAATAAACATCTGCCGAATGTTGAGTGCGTGCTAGGCACTGGTGAAAACATTGGCTGTTGGAAGAATTTTATGGAGAAGATACATTTGGGGAGAAAAATCAAAAAGTCAAATTGATAACAACATCTGTTTAATTTTAGTTGATTGCATCTGTTGTCAAAAAAGAAAAACTTAAATGCATCTACTTAGGGCAGCCTTTTAAGAAGGTAAGTGAATGAAAACAGAGTTTTCTTTTATTCTCCTGAGCCAAGAAAAGTCTCAAATGGCAGCAGTCCAGGCCATTTTAGACTTGGACCAGATGACTCTTAACCTGGCCCCTCTCCCCACTCCCCTTGAAGTTCAAGGATTGGTAAACTCCCTGAATTATGTGCAAAATAATGTGAGTATGTGCATTTTCCGGGCTTCATGGCTGGTATCAAATTTTCAAATTGGTGACCTTTTATAAAGCTAAGAACCACTGAGCTCCATTCAAACAGATCTCTCACTTTTTTTTTTTTTTGAGGAAGATTAGCCCTGAGCTAACATCTCTTGCAAATCCTCCTCTTTTTTGCTGAGGAAGATTGGCCCTGGGCTAACATCTGTGCCCATCTTCCTCTACTTATATGAGACGCCACCACAGCATGGCTTGACAAGCGGTGTGTCAGTCTGAGCCCGGGATCTGAACCTGTGAACCCCGGGCTGCCGAAGCTGAGCGCGCAAACTTAACCATTACGCCACCGGGCCGGCCTCCAGACCCTCTCATTTTAAAGTAACTATGGGAGTGAGTCACCCACCACCCACAGAATGCTTCAGAAATCAGTTTTATGAGTACTATAAAGTTTTTTGGATCATGAACTAGTTTACTAATTACTTATTAGCAATTAATATCAATCAATAAAAATCTATGACTGCTTTTATGATTAACGATGTTGGGTCTTAATAATAACTGATAGTGCTAGTAATGACTAATTATATAATTGATTAGTAACAGAAAAATCTTTAAAGTGCCTTTCAGTGCTCTTTGGATATTAATAATAATTAAAAATTTTATAAATAACAATGACCATACAATAAATGGTCGCAATTTATTGTTTGGCCAGAAGCCTCATCCCCAGGTATAGACCCCAGTAGGCTACGTGTAGCTCCCTGTGTATATCCATGTCTGGCTCGGGGTCATTACCTAGGAGGTAATCAGTAAATATTGACTGAGCAAATGAGTGAGCCCCATTGCGGCTCCTTCCCTTGTCCCTCTTGGGCAAGAACCTCTGGAATTTAGGCTGGAGCAAAATGCCCAAGAGGTTTCTTGCCTGAACTCGGAGGCTGGAGAGTGGAATTCAGGCTCCTTAGATGACAAATGTGCCCTCGGCCTGGGCCCGGCCAGGTGCTTCTGTTTCCTGTGTGCCAGCTCTGCCTCCCCTTTGGTGGCAGCTGAGGGCCATCTAAAGGCACGGTGATGAGATGCGATGCCTGGAGGCTGCTGCGCCCACGAGCCTGGGTCTGACACATGCAGTCTGGGCCTCACTGTTGCCACCTCTCCCTTCTAGTTTCGTGTGACACAAACAGAGACTAAACATAAACTAAACTAAACTGATTATCATAAGGTCACAGGTCTAGCCCATGAAAGACTAGACAGGACTTAAAAGAAATTAGACTGCAGCCGAATGTAATTAAAAAGGGTTTTGAGAGAAACTGAATATAATAACCCTGTGTCGTGATTCTCTTAGAATGGTGTCTGGTACATCGCCCAGGACGTAGGGTTTAGAAACAAAGCTGCAAATGCCTTGTTGTTAATAGCCCTGCTTTAGATTATTTCTTTTATATCACAGTGCCTAACGCAGTGTTGGGCATAATATCGTAGACCAGGGCAAAAAGAAGCATAAGACAAGGCTCATAGCTGGGCTCAGTAAGTCCTTCTGGATACACTGGATGGTGTCTTAGTCTACTTGGGCTGCTATAGCAAAATACCATAGACTGGGTGGCTTAAACAATAGACATTTATTTCTCACAGTTCTGGAGGCTAGAAGTCCAACATTAAAGTGCTGGCTGATTTGGTTCCTGGTGAGGACTCTCTTTCTGGTTTGTAGACAGCCGCCTTCTCTCTGTGTCGTCAAATGGCGGAAAGGGGGTGAGCTTTGGTCTCTCTTTCTCTTCCTATAAGGACCCTAATCCCATCATAGGGGTCCCACCTTCATGACCTCATCTAAACCTAATTACCTCCCAAAGGAGCTCCAAATGCTATCATACTGGGGATTAAGGCTTCAACATAGGAATTTGGGGGGATATAAACATTTGGTTATAACAGATGGGGAAGGTCTTTTGGTACCAATAGGCCTGTGGTTCTTTAGTTCTTGCTTACTGCTGTCTGCTGTAGCCAGGGGTGGAGATGGGTGTTCTCAGAGAACTTGGACTGTAATCTATACCAAGAATTACTGGGAGGATTGGTTACTTTGAACACTGAGAGTAGGGCTTATGGGGAGCAGGAGAATTGCCTTCTGTGTTTCCCTCCTAGAGTGCGGGAACATCTCCCACCTCCCTGGCATCACTCTTGCTCACCCACTGCAGAGTCATCTTCCGTGAACTTGTGAGCCTGTCTCCAATTCAGAGCCCCGGTGGGAGGGTGGCCTCAGACCTGAGTCCCTGCCCACAGAGGGGTTGTGGCACACTCTGCAGATGTCACTGGGCTCTTGTTCTCTGCCAGTGACGTTTAATTTCACATCATTAAACTGACAACTGAAATGCCAGATAAGTCCTATGAAAACCCCCTTTTCCTCATGTCATCACTCAAGAATCCACAAAGGGGCCAAATCAGGAAAAATCTGAGCTTTTCATCCAAGTGGTCAAATTCCTTATCTCCTGCTCCTCTTGTCCAACCTTGTTTTCTTATTCCAATTTAATTTTTTATCATGAAATAGTTTAGACGTACAAAAAACATAGAAAATAATATTATAAACGCTCAGGTATCAACCACTCAGCTTAAGAAATAAACAAAATGACAGCCATTCCAGCACCCTCCAAGCCCCTTGTGAACAGGACCACAAAGAACAAATGTGGGAGCAGCAGAGGCAGCAGTTCAGCGAGGGGTTTGGGGCTGGGTAGGCCCAAGTGGAATTCCAGCTCTGTGCTTCCTTCCTGGGCAAATTCGGGAAAATCATGTAACCTCTCAGAGCCTCAACTTCTCTATCTCTAAAATGGGGATGATAAGAGTGGGTACCGTGTGCCTTCCAGAGTTGTTGTGAAGACTAAATGGGGTAATAATGTAAGTAAAGGGCTCAGCCCGGGGCTGGATACGTGGGGAGTGCTCAGCAGATGGTCGTCATTGTTACTGCTGGTGGCCATTGGACTTTTATCATCTTGGATTTGGACCCAGGGGAGCAGTTTCCCACCCACCCTTACTCCAGGGGAGGCCCGGGAGTCGTCAACGCCCAGACCCAGGCAGGAGGGCAGGGACCGTACCTCCCTTGGTAGGCGCCATGGGCTCACTGATGGGAGCTTGGTGGATTTCAGGTGCTCATCCTGGCTGTGAAGCAGCTGTTTCCAGAGTTCGAGTTCATGTGGCTGGTGGACGAAGCCAAGAAGAACCTGCCTTTGGAGCTGGATTTCCTCAACGAAGGGAGGAACGCCGAGAAAGTGGCCCAAATGCTCAAGCACTTTGACTTCTTAAAGGTAGGTGGGGCAGGACAATGGGGCATGGCGGTCTGGAGAAGAGTGCAGGAGAGGGCTGGTCCTGGCCCCAGCATCCCTCCTTGCAGGACAGAAGTGGGGACATCTCCACCCTGAGTCTTCTTTCTGAAGATGAATGATTTGTCCCTGGTGATACACATGGAAGCCCTTGAAGGCAACATTACAAAGAAATACCAAATGTGACTGTTGGCCTGTCAATCAAACATGCTTATTGAGTGACCTACAATTGCAAGACACCGAGTGCTACCCAAGGGCCTGTGAGCCGCGGTCTCTGCCTCCACGAGGCAGGGGACGATGACATTGATGATGATGGTGATGATAAGCGCTACTGTACTCTGACACTGTTCCTAACACTTTATGTATAGCGTATTAGCTCATTTAATACACAGTCAGTTCTGCTATAACACAGCGTATGTGTTCCTGAAAATCTCCCCAGTGTGCAAAATTGCACAACAGAAACCACAGGGCTTATGGGGAAGATGGGGTTAAGCTTACAACACTCAAAACGTCACCAGTGACAGAACATAAAAGAGGATGGGAACCTAATAAAATGGTAGCGTAGTTTTACACATGTTAAATGGCTAAGAAATACACAAGACCACAGTACACGTGGCACTTGACATTGCCATCTGCTTGTGGAAGTGGGCGTCAGAGGGGGCGCCGCTTGTGAGTTACCGTGAGGTGGTAGAAGGAGAGTCACTTGAAATTGGACGGAAAGTTGTCACAAGATGTGGGTGGGCATGACCCATAACACACATGGTGATGTGTGAGGTGTGTGCGTTTTGTGTATTCCTGTGTGGTGTGGCTGAGCCGGATGCGGTTTTCTACCTTCCCTTGGTGTTTCTTGGGGGTGATAATGCACATAAGCAAATGCAAAATTTGTGTTATGATCAAACTGTTCCATAGCATATCAATGGCATCGGAATAGATTTGTGTTTTCAAGTGTTATAGCAGAACTGCTTGTGTGATAGGAGACATTTACTGTGGGAAACAATATCAAATGATACGCAGCCACGGCTTTGTGAGTGGTCCTGCTGGTCTGTGCTCTAAGGGTTCAGAAGAAGGGACTGCCGTGGTGGACGAGGGCAGAGAAGGCTCTGCCGAGAAGTTGGCACTGGAGCTGGTCTTGGAGGACTGTCCTGATGGTCCCCCTGGGGCACGTGGAGGTTGGAACGGGAGAGATGCATGCCAGCACCACTGTGCTTCCACCACATTTTGTCCTTGCAGGGTTTGGACCCATTTACCCCGGGGGAACCTCTTGATGGTACAGGGGTTGGGTCCCTCTGGTAGTGTACACAGAGAGCTTGGCTTTCACCTCTCAGAAGAGATCAGCCCTTCTCTCTTCACTCAGGAGGCCTGGAGAATGCGGGAGGGGCAGTCACAGAGCTCCAGGTACTAGTTCCAGAGCAGACAGTCAAGTCGCGTCCTTCTTGGGGAGAGTGTCTCAGTGCATTGAATGGGAAGGTCTCTTGCTCTGGACTGAAGTGTTCATGTGGCTTCTGAAGACATGAGAAACAGAGGTAGTGTTTATCCTTCTGCTATCTGGAGTGGTTAACAGAGATGGGGAGACCAAGGGTGTGTCTATACTAGCGACCTGAGAATCCTAGACTTGCATCATGGGAGGAAAAGCCACAACTGTGGTGATCAGTGTAGTGTCTTGATACACTAATTTTGGTGGCAGGTGTAGCCGCTGGTGAAGTTTAGCTCCTTGAGTGAGTTGGGAGTCAGGTCTGTCGAGATGCCCCCAGTAGGCTCAGCTGGCTTTTCCTTGGCTGCCATCGTAGACGTGCATGTACAGACCCTCTTATGTGTGTAAATCCGGAGGCACAGAGTAGATCTGGTAACACGGCGCCAGCCCTGAGCTTCAAACCACAATTCAATGAAAACTTGGCTGTCTCAGACAAATAATAATATTAACTAATTAGCATAATGCTGTGGCGTCTAAAGTGTGCTGGAATTCCACTTGCATGTCCCATTCCTTTCATTGCTTCATTCTGCATTCATTGAGCATTTCCTGAGCCTCTTGCTGTGCTAGGAGCTGGGGGGTGCCTAGATGAGTAAGAGATGGTTGGCTCCTGCCCAGGAAGACTTCTCTTCTAGTGGTGACACACACACACACACGTGTTGTTACAGTACAGGATGGTCATGCTATGACAGAGACTTGTCTGTGTTTCTGTGGGTCCCTGATAGGAGGTATTTAATTCCACCCAGGATCTGGAGCTCAGACGGGCTTCCAAGAAGTGTTGATTGTGCAAAGGGACAGCCAATATTTACTGAATGTTTCTTCTGCTGCACTGAACACTGCGCAGATACTGTGATATTGGATCCTTCCAACAATCATCATCCCATTTCACAGATGGCATCTCAGAGTAGAGGAGCGAGGGCTACGAGCCAGGTTCTCTGACTTCAACTCTCGTGCTCGTCTAAGGACATTCTGTTGCCTCTTACCTGGTAGGGGTACTCCTCAGAGCTAGAACTATGAGCCAGACAGACAGAACCGTCTCCTGCACCGTTCCCATGGAAACAGCAAAATCGTCCCCTAGCTGGGGCCAACTAGCATCTGCCAGACCAAGACATGTAATAATAATAACACAAATTTTTCAAACGAGGATGCCAAATAGGTAAATAATTAATGTAATGATCTGACCTGCTGCTTCTAAAACCCACACACCATTCCTAAGACAATGGTGGAATTAAGGCTCCTGAGTAATTAATTTTGCCTAAACACATAACAAGTGGGAAGCGAATTTTGCGCTGCGAACCCAGTTCAGCTCTTAAAACTGGAGATGGATTGCTTTGCACACTGGCACCCCATCACAACATCTGTGCGTAATTAAGCCTCAGCAAAGAGCTTACCTCTCAGTGTGTGAGGCATCTTCCAGTCGGGTTTAATAACCTCAGCCCTATGCTATAAATCCCTGAGCCTCAGACAAGCCCTGCATGCAAATGCAGTGTCGAGGAGACTGGGAGACAGAGAGGGGGCAACCAGGCCAAACGGTCAAGACCAGGGCATTTGTGGATTTGGCATCAGAGTGTGTGTGTGCTGGGGGGAGGGGACAGGACAAGCAGTGAGGTTTGTGACTGACGTGGGGGACAGCTGGGACAACGTAGGAGGGAGAAGCCTTATAACCACAGAGTTTGGGACTGGAAGGGAGGAGAGTTTCTCTCTGTATGTGGAGGTGGGGATGGGTGGGGGCTCATCTCTTGAGTAAGGCCACTCTGGGGTTTCTTAGTGTGAGGTAAGGAGCCTGAGACTCTCCAGAAATTGTGGGCAAACACTGAAGGGATGTGCATGCTTTTGGAGAAGTGCCATAGCTTCCTAAGAATCTCAAAGATTAAGAACCACTGATGTGGGCCGGCCCCGTGGCTTAGCAGTTAAGTGCGCACACTCTGCTACTGGCGGCCCGGGTTTGGATCCCTGGCGCGCACTGACGCACCGCTTGTCAGGTCATGCTGAGGCCACGTCCCACATACAGCAACTAGAAGGATGTACAACTATGACATACAGCTATCTACTGGGGCTTTGGGGGGGAAAAAAAGGAGGGGATTGGCAATAGATGTTAGCTCAGAGCCGGTCTTCCTCAGCAAAAAGAGGAGGATTGGCATGGATGTTAGCTCAGGGCTGATCTTCCTCACAAAAACAAAAACACAACAAAACAGAAAGAACCACTGATGTATAATGATTAATATTAGTTAACAATTTTAACGTGCTTATGCTGTTAGACTCTTTTTAAAGTGCATCACATGTATTTACTCTTTAATTCTTATAACAGCCCCACGAAGGAGAGGCCATTATTAGCCCCCTGTCACCAGTGGGGAAGTTGGACCCCAGAGGGATGAAACCATTTGCCCAAGGTCACAGCCTCCTGGGAAGGGGCAGAGGCAGGGTCTGAATGGAGCAGCCTGGCTCTGGAGCCTAGAGGTTAAACCACTGTGCTGTTCTGCTTCTGTAATAATTGGTAGGGAAGATCTGAATTACGCTGAATTGTGTGGAGTGTTAGCTCTCAGTCCTGGTTGTGTATCAGAACCACCTGTGACACTCAACGTGATCATCGCATGGCAGCCGCTGTTTGTCCAGCAGGCGCTAAGTGTGTGCTGCTGTGTCGAGCACCAGGACTCCACACGTGCTGGCAGGAGGTAGGGAATGTTGCTTCCATTGCACTTGTCATCACCATCTTACAGGTGGGGCAACTGGTGCTCAGAGAGGTTATAAAACTCACCCATAGTCACACAGCTTGGAAGTGGCAGAGCCAGGGCTCCAGCCCGACAGTCTGACTCTGGTCTGTGCTCTGCTCTGCTGGGCTCAGGTGATGAGAGGACCGTGGCCCTGGGTGATGGACGCTGGCCCAGACAAGCCAGGGCCTGCTTCACAGGTGTGTTGACCAAAGCACAGGAACAAGGCAGAAGCACGGGGTCAGGGCCAGACTATGAGGCTGAAGCCCAGGGTCTTGGCTGGAACTTTCCATAATCTGTGCCCTCCTTCTTGGGGTCAGGATTGGCCCAGTGTGGGGGGCAGGTGAAGCCCACAGGAGGGGGACCTCTGCTCTGTGGCAAGAAGGTAGACCCAGGGCCCAGAGGATGTGACCCTGTCTGTGGGGTCAGCGGGCATCCTGGCCCTGAGCCTCCCAGGGTTTAGTTTTGTTTGGGGGGTGGGGCAGTTCTTCTGGCCTCTTTAAAGTCCTTCTCTTCCATCTCTCCCCTCCCTGAAGGAAGAAGCAGAGGAAGGAATGGTGGTGACATATGGGTGTTGGGGTGAAGTGAATTTCACCTCATACCCCCAGACCCTCCTGCCCACATGGTGATTTAGGGGCAAGTCCCTTGACCTAGTGTCCCCCTGTGAAGCCACATTTCTCCTAAGTGAGCAGGGAGCAGTTTTGTCGCTGGCAGTCATTTCTGTGTCGTGTCCGTGGAGGGGCAACTGTGGTCCTCCCTGAGCTCCCAGGACAAACCCTCCATCTCCCAGGTTTGATGTCTGTCATTTCAGATATAAGCAGTTGGAGCAAGAGGCACGTTCTGTCGTCAGACTGGGCCGGCTGCATTTGGAGGGAGACTGGGGGGAAGATGGAAGGGGAAACCCAGCTCACCCGGAATGCTGAGGAACAAGCCCGGAGACTCCAGCTTTTGGGTTTTCTCTCTCCATCTGTGGCTCTTTCATGGTTGTTTTCCATGTCGTCCCCAGACAGGTCCACATGGGGGTCTGACCGCCCCAGGTGCCCACGGGCAAGCTTGTTGGTTTCCAAACAAACATGAGGGAAGAACTTAACACCCAATTATGTCCCTTTCGTTTGGAAGCTACAAACAACAGTGGCAAACTTGCACTCATACTTTTAAAGACATTTTTTGAAAAATGCCAAGCAAGACTGAATTTTAAGTTCAAAGTAACAGACAGTCACAGGTTTCTCTATTGGCCCAGATCTTTAAATGGCAAAAACTGCAGGAAAGTCGCAAACCAAAATAACACCTTAATTTCCATTGGAACTTTTGTTCCGGGAGCCCAGTGTTTCATGTGGACGTGTGGTCCCGTTTATCCTCAGAGCTCCCCATTGAGATGGGGCAGAAACAACCTCCTTTCTAATGAGGAAAACTGAGGCGTAAGGAGTTAAGTGGCTGAACTAAGACACAGCAGTTATGAGCAGAGCTAGCAACAGGAAATGGGTCTCTTGACTTAAGGGCGCTATCTTACTACCAGATGAGTTTTGGGGGTTGGGATGAGGAAAGTCCTCATTCCCCAAAACACTGGAATTAGCTGCCCTCATTTCTTTATTCATAAGTGGGAATAAACCCATCAAGTTGTTGGGCTACCGTGGCATGCCGACAGCCGGTAATTCCTCCCTCCCGGCTACGCTGGGACTGGTGGGCGTCACGCACTCGCCTGCAGCCCAGCACCCTTGGTGCAGTCCAGTCTCTTGCCTACTCCTGGGGAAATATGTTCTCTTTTTGGCTATTGGGTGTTCTCAGAGTCAGAGGGGGTTGGAGAGGATATGAGTTAGGAGTGCCTTTGTCTGCAGGTTACTGAAAGCCCCTGTTCTTAAACAACAGGAATTTATTTTCCTCATATAGCACGAAGGCTTACAGCAGTTGCCTGCTGATATTGTCTTAGGGGTTTGACAACATCAGGGCTGGCATCTCTGATTTTCTTGGACTTTTCCTCATGGTTTCAAGATAGCTGCTGCAGCTCCAGGTATCACATTCACTTTTAAGGCAGGAAGAGAAGGGTAAGACGAATTGCACCATCTACAAACATTCCTGTTTATCCAGAAAATAAAAACCTTCCCAGATCCCATAGCAGACCTCCACTCATGTCTTATAAGCAAGAACTGTGTCACATGGCCATACCTCTTGCAAGGCAGGCAGGGAAAGTATTTAGTTTTTCCTGTCTTTCAGGAAGGGGAGGATTGGGGATAGTGTTGGGTTAGGCTTCAGCATTGTCTGCCACAGGGTGCTTGTAGGAAATGGGCGTGAGAAAACTCCTGAATTCCCAACAGAAAAATTTATCATCCAGTAAAACTTCATTCATTCAGTCATTCACACATACATCCATACGATATACCCGTTGCTCAGGTGTAGAAACTGAGGCAGAGGGTATAGATTCACATGAGGAGACTGAAATAAGCCTGATGAGAGAGAAAAATAGCTTTTAACACCAACTCTGGCTCAGGTGTGAGGGCTTCCACACATTTTCCCCTAAGTCCCAGTTTTAGTTTGGGCTCTTAGTTGTGTCTAGAAGGCACTGAGGAGGGCGGGAAAGCCTGCCTCTGGTCCCCAAGCAGGAAGGGTCACTAAAGGAGGGGCCGGGGGTCTAGCTGAGGGAGGCGGAGCAGCCTACCTTTCTCTCTTGGCCTGCCTCCTGCTTTCCCCACTGTCACTGCCAAGGTCCCTCTCGGGCCTTCTCTCCTGTTCCCGGGAGGAGTGTCTGCTGATGTCTGGCTCGCTGTGCCTCTCTGCAGACCTCGCCCCAGCTCCCAGCCTCCCGGGCCCTTCTGACCTGTCCTTTCCTATTCCAGGTCCCCCGAATCTACTGGGACCTATCCACCAAGCGGGTCCTTCTGATGGAGTTTGTGGACGGTGGGCAGGTCAATGACCGAGACTACATGGAGAGGAACAAGATTGACGTCAACGAGGTGAGGGCAGGAGTGTGCAGCTGCTTGTGAGGGACGTGGGCTTGATCGGGGCTGCCCAGCCGGGGCAGGTGTGTCCAGGTGGGGTATCACCACCCTGAAATGGGGCCTGTTGTCTGAAGAAATGTAACATCTCTGAGCATGAAGCATCCTTCCAGGTCATTCAGTGCAGCCTCTGCCCCATCTCCTAAAGCCGGGGTGGCAGCACGCAGTGGGTGCAGGCACACGCTGAGCCCCTCCCTGCAGCTGCCACCCAGATAAGTGATTTCCATCTGTCTTCTGTGCCATCTGAGCCCCACAGAGCTGAGCAGCCGCAGAGAACAATGGTGCGAAATCCATGGGTCTTAACCTTTCTGCCTGGGTGGGGCTTGGACACAGCCTCTGCCCTCCCTCCCTGCTCCCTGCCCCTCCCCAGATCTCAAGGTATCAGGCGAAAAGGGGACAGTAGTAGCCAACTGTATCTGCTTCATAAGGCTAGGAGAAAAGAGGGGCTTCTGTCTCCCACCTCCCACCCACTTGATCTCAGGGAAAATGGGCCAGTGGGTGGGGCCTGTACCCCATTTTCTTCTTCTTGGTCGCCACAGGTCCTACAGGTAAGGGCAGAGTTGTACTTTTTCAACAACATTCATCATTTTTCTAGTCCCTACTCTGTACTAGGTGTGGAGGGTCAGAGGGGAGCCAGACACGATTCCTTCCTTTAGGGAGTTCACAGCCTAGCATTGGAGTCGGACATGCAACTGCATCCCCACAGCCATCTCTCGGGCAGCAAGGGGTATGAGTGAGACCCCAGGGAGCCACACAGAAGGAGTGCTCACCTCTCCCACAGGTCGACTTCCCCAGCAGGATGAATGAGAATTTGCCAGGTCTGTGTGTGTGTGTGTGTGTGTGTGTGTGTGTGTGTATGTGTGGTGGAGGAGTTGAGGGGTGGAGATGGCACTGCAAGGAAGTGGAAAGGAGTGGTGAGGTCTGGCAAGACCAGGGGCAGGGTTGCTGGGGCAGTGTGGAAAAATAGGGTAGGGGGCAGATGGTGAAGGCCTTGGGTATGACCCTGGAGGACAGGGGGGTTACTGAAGGGTGTTGAGGAGTACAATGACATGATCCACCACTCCGGCTGGGAGGGAGGAAGGAATGGAAGGGACCAGACCCAATAAAGATGATTGCTCTTTTCTACCTACCCCCACACCTCTACCCCCTCAGCAAAACATGAAGATGAGCATGTGGTCCCAGTGGTGGGATGGCCCAGAGGAGAAAGCTACAACTTGGCTCAGCAGATGAGCCAGGTGGAAGGCAGGAGAGTTGCAGGTTGTGACCCCAGGCCTCTAGGTGCCTGTGTGGCTTCTGGTAATGCGGACAATGATAGCACCTACTTCTAAGAGGGTTGTGAGGACCACACGAGTTAGTGCACAGACAGCTTAGCACAGTGCCTGGGGTGCTTAGCACTCCAAAATGGTCGCTAAATGATTATTGTCGTTGTTTTCATTATTATTATCATCGTTGGGCCCTGTCCTTTCTTCCTTTATGTCTTCTTACCGTTAACATTCACCGACCGCCTGACTCCCTGTGCCAGGCCCTCTCTGCGATGCAAACTTAGGAGGGAGGTCTTCTTGTCTCCATTCTGCAGATGAAGAGTCGAAGATTCAGAGAGGGAAGGTAACTTCCGTAACGCCCCAGATTGTAATGGTACACCCAGTGAGTTTGCATATGGATCTACCATGTAATCACCAGCCGGGTAAAGACACAAATCATTTCTAGCACCCTGGCAGGCTCCCTCACGCCCCCTCCCAGTTGATACCCTCACCCCCACCAGAGCTACCGCTATTCTGACCTCTGTCACCACAGATCACTTTGCTCATCACTGAACTTCGTAAGTGGAATCATATGGTATAGTCTTTGTTTCTGGCATCTTTGTCATCAATTGGCTGTGGGTCTTTTCTGGAAGCTCTGTTCTCTTCCACTGGTCTGTCCTTGCAGTAATGCCACACTGTCTTAGTTACTTAATTCCTTAATCCCCTGCCCCAGGCTTCTAGGGTTTGCATGACCTGAGAAGCTTTTGGTGTTCTGAGATGATGTCATCAAATACTTCCACAGAAGCCGCAGGCTGGGCTGTGGGCGGTGGGTCATGTGCTCTACTGTGCTGTCACTGCCCTTTGGTGATGTTGGGAGTGGACTAGGGGTGGGCCCTCCTTTACAGAAATTAGTCTGTTATGTCTCTTACCAACCAACATCAAAGCCACAAGCCTCATGGTGCGTGCATGTGTGTGTATGTGCATGAGCGCGTGTGCACGTGTGTGTGCTTGTCTGTGTGTGTGCACATGCATGTGTAGAGTATGGGAGACTCCATGTTACTGAAAGTTTCTAACAGACTTGGAGGTTCTGAAGTCTCCCGAGGGCTGTGGGCCTCAGTGGGCTGGTCCCCGGAGTGGCTCTCCCTCCTCAGGACAGCCTGGCTGTGAGTGTTCCTTGGGGAGGGCAGTACAAGAGACAGACAGAAGTGACAAGAGGCTAAGATCTCATCCCAGATCCCGAGGGCAGGATGGTTAGTGGCGTCTTGGCTGGTGACTCAACTGGAAGAGAGGGCTCAGCAGGGATGGCTCTAGAAGGAATCGCTCTCCAGGTGGGTGGGGTTGGCTCCAGACCCCTCCAACCACTTGTTGAGCCATCCCCACTCCACTTTGGAGAGGCCCCCTCACCCTGCAGCATCCTAGCCCCGCTGGGCCTAGCATGTGAGGACCTGAGGACCAGTCTAAGTAGCCGGTTCCCGATAGATTTGGGTAGGGAAACGCCAGGTTAGGAGGCGAGAGACCTGGCTTCAAGCTCAACTCTGCCAATGGCTCGCTGTGTGGCCTTGGACAAATCACTCCCTTTCTCTGGGCCTCAGTTTTCTTGTTGAAGGCATTGGATTAGCTGGACTCTAAGGGTACGTCCTTCTTGGATATTTTACAGAACAGTGATTCTCAGCTTGCAGAGAGCCAAGACCTGAACCATCCATTTCAGAATCACTGGAGGAGCTTATTAAACAATGCAGATTCCTGGGCCCCCTCACACTTACTCATCAGACTCTGGAGTGGGAAGGGTTGCAGGAGGTTGCAAGAATCTGCATTTTGACAAACTCTCCAGATGGTTCACACACTCCCTGAAGCTCAGGAACCAGCCACCACAAGGCCTGGGGGCCCAGGCGCCTCTGCTGTTGTGCACCTCTGGCAGGAGGCAGCCCTGCCCAGGTGTGCTCACCTGCCAGGGAGCAGGGGGCCTCGGGAGCCAGCAGCCTGCAGGGGCCCTCATTTGTTTGTGTCTCTGAGCCCAGAAGCAACACATTACCGAGGGCCCGACCCGGTGATCATATTTGCCAATCACTGTAAGAGCTGTCGACAATGACTGTCATTGATTTCATTAAAAGTAAAGGTCGTGTGGGAGCGCACGTTCCCGGGCCGGATGGAGCCTCCTCAAGCCACAGGACGACTATTGATTGCAGAACCTTTATCGAAGGTTAATTGGATTTTAGTGAGTGTGTGTTTAAGACCCGGGCTGGCTGAGGCCCGATTGAATTTGTGTGAAATTAGCCGAGAGAAAGGTGACAAAGTCGGGAGTTTGGGGTTGCTGGGGATGGGGACTGGAGGCCTGGTGAGCAGACATTGGCTGTCTGTGAAGAATGGGGGTGGGTGCAGGGATGGGGGGCTTGCAAGACACGCTAGCCTGTCTGTGTCGGAGGCCTGGGAGCCCCCGGGGGAAAAGAGCCGGGGGCTCCCTGTGGTCATTATGAGGACCGTGATTCAGTCCTCTGTCCTTGGGGTGGCCCTCCTGGTATGTGGTGTGGCCTCCAGAGCCTTTTCACCTCTCCAGAGAGTAAATCTCGTCTTCTGTCAGGGTTGGGAGAGGATCTGGGGGTTCAGCTCTTTGAAAGTCTTTCGACAGACCTTACTTTTTCAGGACCCCCAACTCCTGTTTTCAGAGGTGCCAGGGGCCTTCAGTTGCCGAGCCTGTCTGGGCTCAGAGGTCAAGTTCCCCCCACTGCTGGCTTAGGGTTCCCTGTTGTCTAGCCTGCTAAGTCATTTCTCAGTGGCTCTCTGCTCCCCTCCCCCCATGTACTCTTGCTAATCTCTTCTTGTCTGCTGTTGTGGGCCCTCCTACTCCCTTGTTGTGGTGGGGTCTTTGTCCTTGCTTGTTTCTTTTAGAATCGTTGTCGTGGGGTTGGGGAGGGAGTGGAGTCAGTGCCTGGGTTCAGCGGGCCACATTCCATGAGAACCCTTGGTCATGCTTCTTCCTTCCAGTAGCTTTAAAGTCCATTCCGTGTCACTGTAGGAGCAGTGAAAGGGTCTCAAGTATCTTTCAGCAGATGCCTGTCGCGCACCCACTACGTGCAGGGCACTGCATGTTAAGTGCTGTCATAGAGGTGTGCACGGACGTGGGAGACGTGGGGCTGGAGGAGGCTCCCCCGAGGCTGGGTGCTGTGCTGGGAGGGGCAGAGGCCTTCAAAGTTGGGGCACCTGGGGTTGTGTCTGGCTCTGCCATTTATTGGCCAGGTGCCCTTGGGTAAGTTAGTTAAGTCTGAGTTTCCTCATCTGTACAGGAAATAACAATACTTACTTCACAGGGTTGTGGTGCAGACTTTACAGCCTGTGAAGTTGTATAAAATAAATAATAAGTCATTTATAATTCATGAGGTTATTATTCACAGGGGCATGTCTTCCTCCATAGATCTCTGAGAATCTTCTTTGCTCCCCTCCTGTCCACTTGCCTCTGTGGTCCAGGAATTTGTAGGTTGGAAGGTGAGCAGTGGTCATCGACTGAGCACGTGGTGACGCCCCTTCCCCATCTCTAAAAACCACGCCGCAGTTAGGCCCAAGTTTCCCGTGCCCCCCTACACCACCTCAGGTTGAATGGGATATTTACTTTTTGCTCAGCATCATCTCCCACTTACTGGGCCTGTCTTGCTCTGTGGAAGAAGGTGCTCAGAAGACTGGGGAAGAGAAGCTGAAGATGCATGAAGACCCTAGTTACTGAAA